AAATTGGCAAGCTTCTCCCTGTCGAACCCTTCCCTTCTTCTCCTTAATGACAAGGCTTTTCCCTTCCAATCTATTTCACTGATCAAGAGAAATCATCAACTCATCTTCTTTGCCCCCTTTTCCCCAAAAATCCCTACTCCACTACTTGACGCAAGATTTAACATGGACACCCTTTTGGCAAATCTAAAGCTAGAATGACCAACCACTTGCTTTTCTTCCAACCAAGACTTGTTTAGATCCACAATGCAAGGGACTCAAAGCCGTTCAAACTTGTCTAGATCATTACTTACACATTCAACACTAATTGTCCCTTTTCTATATTCTTTTCCAACTTCTAACTGAAAAATCTTCATTAACATCTTCATATTCTCAAGTATGGTGGTAGCCTTTCGGATTATCAAGTGTTTGACATGCACACCAAGTGTCAGATAGATTCCACATCTGCACGAATATCATGTGGTGTTTGACATGGTTATGCCACCTAATTGAAGAGTTTAAGCAACATACTAAATAGGTAGCAACATTATATCATTTTTCTTTGGGTCTTAGCTTGACAGATCATCTGACTAAAATTAGCAAATCATAAAATAAAGCCAGAAAAATAAATTGCAATGCTATAATATAAAATATAATATCAAGATCTCAAAATATGTTATCAACGTGATAAATATCATATCAAAAGCAGGAAACGAATGTCATTTTAAGTCCTACCTGCACATTTTTTCTGATATTTGAATCCTCCGAGGCTCCAGAAGCAGAGAGTTTCTGTAATCTCTTCTCTGATTTCCTCAATAAATCAGTTATCTCTAGAGTGAGAGACTCAATCTTCCGTTGATCTTCTTTACCATCGCCAAATGAAGGCATTAACGCCTTTGCATGAACCTTCCCCAAATCCACCATTTTTGTTCGTATACGTTGTACAGTTGCAGCTATATCCTCAGACACATCCACCCAAGCCGGTGGTAAACCCACTGTAAGTGCACCTCTACTGCAAACAAGTACAATAATGTTTAACAGCCTTGTTAAAAATTCTTGCGAATGAGTTTATTTATATAGCTGAAAGATGAACAAGAAAAAAAGATAAAAACAAAAGTAATTTGTAAATTGTAATTGCTAAAGTCTAACCTTAGTAGTGAATACCACGAACTATAGTTCCTACCACATACAACTCCCAATAGTGATAGCATATACGATATGTTTGTATTATTCTTTATCGTACGAAACGTTTGCATTCTACATGTATATAAACATGTGTAGATGCAAGTGTACCAATGCTATTAGCTATTTAAAACACTAAAAGAAAAGCAAACAATCATATTGCAGAGATAAAAATATTTCTCCCTTGCTTTCTCTTTGCTCCTCTACCACCTCATATAGCAAACAGTTTATATTACTCAGATCATCAAAATTTATTCGACAAGAAAAATGTCCGTTACATATAGACAGGTCTAAACTTTTGAAGGAAAGAATTTTGCACCTAAAGCCCCTAAATTTTACCGAACACACACAAATGCTCGTCTCAATGAAGCTGTCGCCAATAGAATTGAGATAGAAACCAAAATTACTGACAACAAACCGAACCAAATTAAAGAGCTAATAGAACTCCTAATATCAACCACACAACTTTTCTACACCACTTCCATCAAATTACTGAAAACAAAAAGTTAAAAAAATGAAGCAAACGTAATTACATCAATATGCCAACTGAAATGAACTCCAATCTCGAACAATCTACAAGCAAATAAATATAGAGAGAAAGGAGGAGTAGGGCATACCTAGCATTTCCAGGATCCTCAGTGCTGAGAGCAGCATAAGATCGATTAGGATTCAAAAGCGAAGTACTCACCAGCTCGATCACCGGACCTCCACCTGAGCTCGTCGACGTCTGTGACGCATACGAGCTCGTGGGGGCACGAACGCTTTTCAACGCATCCCTGTACCTCCTGAATATCAGAGTCCGATTCCTCGTAGCCATTACCAAAACTCGAATTTCAATTCCCTTTCCAAAATCCAAACCAAGAATAGAGCTCTGGATTCAGATCAAACCTTCAGATCTGGTGATCGAGGTTTCCTCATGATCGAGCGAGGAACTGGAGTCAAAGCAAGGGACAATTACAGAAACTGACGGAAATGTAAAATTTCACGAAACAGATAAACGCAACGAAAAAGCGAGCACGTGATCAGGAGATCGGCGACCAGCGGTTGTGCCGATGAGCGGTTGTACCGACGGCAGATCACGTGCCGGCGAGATTCGGGACGTTTACAGAAGGGATCCAACTACGTAGAGGAAGAGAGAAAACAACAAATAAAAGAACTAATACGTGCGCGTGTAAGAAAAGAAACTTCGTAATTTACACCCTCGGGTTTAAGCTTGCAGTGCGTACCTGATTTCCTACTTTTATCCTACACTGTAATTATTCCTTGACCAATCATAACCCTCCACGTCACCAACTTTTTCAACACACAAAGAAAGCGGAGTACTGTCAAGACAAAAAAAACCTCCTGCCAGTTATTTTCAACAACAAAAATTACTAACAAAAAAATAAAATCTCCTCTCGACATATCTCACTCTCTATCAAGACACACAAAACCTACCCCGTAATCGTCGACCATCTCTGCTTCGTCATTGACTCCGGGTATTCTTTTTCGTTCAATTCAGTCGAATTTTTTGGTTGCTGTCTGAATCTGAATCAAAGATCGGATTTTGAAGCAAATCGGGCGAGACTTGACTGATTTTCGTAGCTTTTTAGTATCGGGTAATTGAGAGAGAAATATAGTGATAACTGAGGATAAGAGATGGATGCTGACTCGTGGAGTGCTCGTCTATCTTCTGCCTCGAAGAGATACCAATCTGCTCTTCAATCGCGATCTGGTAAGCTCGACATGTAGAGGGTTTTAATGTTGTTTTAATGTTTTTTTTTTTCCTTAATTTCTTTTTGGAGTGATGGAAAAGAATGAGAATTGAGGTGCGCACGGCTAGTTTTTTTTAGTTAATTTGAGCTCGGTGTTGAAGTTTAGTTGGTATATTATGTTTCGTTGCTGTTTTGTATGAGTTCTTGAGCCAAAAAAATTGAAGTTGCTTGATTGATTGCCGAGGAAATGATGGAAAAGAATGAGGGTCGGAGTGGGGATAGCTTTAGTTTCGTTTTAGCTAATTTGAGCTAGGTCTTGAAATTTGGTCGTCTAATTTCTCGAGCCATGGAAATTGCAGTTGCTTGATTGATTGGTAGAAATGAGGAAAGTTGATATAAGAGGACGTTTACAAGAGTGGAAAAACTTCAATTTGCTTTTACCGAGTTACAGAACTACCTTTTCATAGCTCAGGGTCCTGGAGTTTTGGGTTTATTCATCATCTGTAATTCGTCAGTAAATCTCTTCTAAGTTAGCTT